CCCCCGGGCGTGCCCCCCCCCCCCCCGCCCGCGCCCCGCAGGAAATCGCCCGACTCGGCGGGAGCGGCCACAGCGGACCCGGACCCAGCCCCAGCGTCGGCCCCAGACCCAGACCCAGCGCTCGGACTCGACGCCCCCGTCACTGCCCGCTCCGGGGCGGCGGGGCAGGGCAAGGCGCAGTCCCAGCGCCGGGGCGCCTCTGGGACCTCTGCTCCCGCTGCCGGACTCCCTTCGCGAGCAGGCGAGTATCCCCGCAAGATATCCCCGCCCCGAAACCGGGCCCCCCGCCGCCTCCCTCCCCCCGGGCAGGTGCGGTGCCCCTCGGCAGCCCCTGTCCCCCGCGGCCGGTGCCTCCTCTCCCCTCCCCGGGGGCCGCGCTGCGGCCACGAGCTGCCCGGCTTCTCCTCGTTCCTTTGTGTGCTTCGCGTTTTATCGCTCTCTCGCCTGCGCTCCCCGGGCGCGCTTTGCCGCCTTTGTCCGCGGGAGCCGGACCCGCCGCGCCCCCGCGGGGCCCCCCCAGGCCGGTCCCGCGCCCGCCGCGCACCTGGGCGGCGCGAACAGCCGGGCTCGGCTGGGGATCGGCTTTTCTCTAACGGGATTAAGCGGCTCTCGGTGACTTTTTCCGTGATAAGTACTTTCCGGGAGAGTGCGATACTACGTGGAAAGTGGGAGAGATGCCACCGGCGAGTCGGGGTGTTTGTTTACCCGGGTTATTCCCGGGGGGGGCGGCGGGTCCCTGGGCCAGCGCACGCCCCCGCCGTCGGGGGCTTGGGATGCCTTTGTTGCACAGAGGATTCCTGAAATCTTTGTGTTGGCACATCCCGAGTGGATTCCAGCCATGCCTTGGGCTTTGGCTAACTGGGTCAGGGGAAGTTTCAAGTTAACAGGGAACTGTAAAACAAAGAACAGGCAGTTCCAGAAGACAAATGTTTTAATTGCCCTGTTGAAGTGCCTTGGCATCGGCCGTGTTTGCGGTGCTGGAGCCCAGTAGTGTACCTGGAGCCCAGGTGCATTAGATTTTCAGACTGGAGTGCCAGGGTTGATCTACCAGTGGCATGCACTTGCTTTAGTAGACAACTCTGCCCTTACTTACCCCGTACTTGAACCTGTTTGCTCATTTTTTTCCAGCGTGAGAAAGTACATGCTGTTTGAACATACTTGTGTAAGAGTCATATAACAAATCAGAAAACTTTCATGCTTCCAGTGTTGCTTTCTAGTAGTTATTCACT